ATCCATTGACTTTAGGGCCAGTCCCCCCCCCCCCCTCCCTTCCATATCTACAAAGCACGTTGACAGAGCATATTTTTGTGTCTTGATTTTGGTGATGCTTGAGAAATCGCAAGGTTAGGTAAATAAATAAAAGTTACAATTGTATTTGGTGGCAGTGTATAATATCACAGTGCCCCCCCCCCCAAATAATAATAATAAGAGAAGGACGATGGAAGATTTTCATAAATGTATTGAGAGATTGCATAATGCAAAGAGTGATGCTGACAAATTTGCAGCCCTTCTTGTTTTAGTGAAGACTCTGAAAACAGATGGCTATGACCTGGATTATATACAGCAAAAGGATATTTTTGATGCAGTTGGATCATCATTTTTACAGAGACTGTTACATCCACATCATGATATAGGTGGATGCCCTCAAGAAATCTTTAGGTCAGTTGCTTTAACAGTTTTAGCAGTACTATCTGGTTCTCCTAAATCACCAGCACATGACTTTATTTGTAGTAATCTTGATACTTTTAAAGAAATCCTTCAGTCAAAAGAAGAACCTAATTCTTTCCAGGATTTAATTGAAAAAGATATTTTGCAATGTTTAGTAAATGTTTGCTCTACAGAAGAAGGTAGAAATGGTATTATTTCCAAACAGTTTGTGGATTATCTTGTAAATGTGGCTATAAATTATCTGATGGACCATGAAAAAGCCATGCATATTCTAATGACCCTCAGTCATTATTTCAAGAGTGATCTGTGGACTCGGGAAGCTGCTTCATTTTCTGCAGTCATAAACTTTATAGCTTCTGAGTTTAGAGAAGAAACTACAAGTCGGAAGTTTGAGCTTTGTAATATCTTAACAAAGTTACTGACTGATAATCCCAGATGTTCAGCAGATGTTCATGCAGATTGGAGTGAAATCATACAAGAAGGCTTGTTTGATCTGCTGAATAACCAACTAGGAAAAGCACAATGTCGGGATGCGTTGAAGTTGGCATGTGCAATGGTGGAGAGATTTGGATTACTTTGGATGTTGAACAGTAATGATGAGACAAAAGCAATTAGAAAAGAGTTTTGCCTTTTGATTCATCTAGTGTGTATAGAAGTTCAAATGATTTTGAAGGACCGGTCAGTAGAAGAAATTGTTGAGAATATAGACATGCTTTCTGCTTGCTATACAATTCTGGAGGCAACCACTACCATATTGTGTGATGAGTCTGTATGGCAAATTGATTCAGGAGCAGAACAATTACTTACTCCAGTTAATGAAGCATTTAGAGCTGTTTTATCATTTTTGTTAAAAGCATCAAAAGAATTAGATGATTGGCTTGGTTTTTCTAAACATAAACAATATTTAACTCTTATCTCAGTCAAAGCTCTTTCAGTTTGGTTGGCAGAAGAAACTTTTTCTCTGAAAGAAGAAGCATGTATTGTTATTCCCAACCTCTTAAAGATAGGACAGTGCATGTTTTGGGAGAAAAAAGAAGAATTTTTGAAGGGTACCTGTGGTCAAGACAGTGATGTCATTTCTTTTTTGACTCCTGCTTTGCATCACATGAGTGCAGATGACACAACTCGTAAAGTTCCCCAAAATGCATCACAACTTTTAGTTGAGTATCTTGATTTCCAGTGGCTATTGTGGAGAAAAGATATGAACAAAGCCTCTGAAACATGTATCATTACACTCTGTGGAATTTTCAAGAATCTCGTGATTTTAGAAGCAAAGATGACATCAGAAAGTATGTTGTTCTTTTCCTTGTTAAAATTTCTACTTAACACAGTTTTACACATACCTCGAGGGTTTGAACATATAACCCTTAAGGCAAATATTACAGTCCTGGGACTTCTCATTGCTAGGCAACATGCTCATAAAATTAAAAGCTGTGAGATGAGCTTTTGCCGTTTTCTTGCAGCCAGTGTGAAGTTTCTCTGGGACTGTCACCAGGTGGAAGATTCACAAGATATCCCAGCTTTAGTTATTATGCGAGAATACCGTAAAGTGTGGAGTGACATTATGGAACTCTGGTTTCTTGGAATGATAGCACTCTCCAGTCTCCTTTCTCATGTTCCATGGGTGGCTCCCTTTCTTCTTGAAAGTGGTTGGCCTCAGCATATAGTTTTGTCACTGGGGAAGGTGAGTTGTAATGGAGTAGATGCAAGCATTAAGTCAGCATATCAGGAGTTCTTGTGCTCTTTACTGCGAAACTGCCCAGACGCTAAAGAACAGCTTTTGAATTGTGGTGGTGTGTTGGTAAGTCAAATTCACGAGTTGAGAGAACTAGGAACACTTTTGAAATGACATAAATTTATATCAACTAAAGAGAACAGAGAATTTTAAGTTGTTTAATTCAATAAAACTGAGATTCTAGTAGATGTGATCAGTCAAGCACTGGTGACCTATTACATTGACTTGCTTTGAAAATGTGTTTAAAATGGTTTTATCATCATTTGTTAACAGTTTAATAAGATCAACAATATCAGAACAATGGGTGCTAAAAAGTTGATCAGAAGCTAGGATATATTCTGTTCTTTTATCAAGGTTTGTTACGTAATATGAAAATATAATAGTACAAAAGAATAAATCAACAAAAGTTTTAACACTTGAATTGTTGGTAATTGCATGAGGTGCTTTTCAACAGCAAGCAATGTTCTGGAACTTGCTTTTGGAATATCTTTGTGGTTTAAACCAGTGTTTATTGTAAGATCACCTTTTATTGAGTAGTATATAAAATCCACTGGTGAAAGGTAAATAATGATATTTAATAATGTTTGCAAGTAGAAAACTAACATATTAGTACTATGTGTGATATAAACCAGTTTGTTTGAATTAGGTGTATTTCAGGAAATGGACAAAATGAGAAAAAAATACTGATGATAAACTGGACATTTACTGTGTAATTTGGTTAAGCAGCTAGTTACAATCTTTAATGAGTAGTTTGGTTACCCATGTAACTACAGTCTTTATTGTGTAGTTTGGCTATCCAGGCAGCTACAATTTTTATTGTGTAGTTTGGTTACCCATGTAACTACAGTCTTTATTGTGTAGTTTGGTTTCCCAGGCAGCTACAATTTTTATTGTGTAGTTTGGTTACCCAGGCAGCTACAATCTTTATTGTGTAGTTTGGTTACCCAGGCATTTACAATCCTTATTGTGTAGTTTCGTTACCAAGGCAGCTAATATCTTTACTGTGTATTTTGGTTACCCAAGTAGCTACAATCTTTACTGGGTAGTTTGGTTACTTAGGTAGCAAATATCTTTATTGTGTAGTTTGGTTACCCAGGCAGCTAATATCTTTACTGTGTATTTTGGTTACCCAAGTAACTACAATCTTTACTGTGTAGTTTGGTTACTCATTTAGCTGTAACCTTGACAACATGTTTAATGTGATAGACACAAGTTTATTTATTAACAATATTTTTGTAGTTTGGTTTTGATCAGACTTTCACTTACATAAGTACTTACAAATGATTATAAAAGTAAATTTTTATTTTAAGAATGAAGAGTTCATTAATTCAAGGAAAGTGTTGAAATGTGGTGTGTAGGTATCTTTTATTTTGTAAGAGTTCTTAAGAGTTGGTATAGTATTGTATACAAGACAAAGTTTTTGAACTGTGAACTGCTCTTCTCGTATATATGTATATTTTTTTCCTTAAAAAGTTCCTCAAACCATGACACTGGCCCTGTTTCTCTAATACTAAAACTTTTTTCTTCTGCTTGAATGTGTTCAAAAAATTCTTGTAACATTTTTAAGTTCCAAGGATAGTTATATTTGATGGAAAGCTCCTAATAAAACTTGTCTGAACTTTTTAAGTTATTAAAAAGTTGTCAAAACTTTTTATGCTTGTCATCAATTAATATTTATCTTAATTCTTTTAGTGTATTTATTTATTATTGAATAAATTTCTATTCCATCATGAAATGTGAGGAAAGTATTAAACATTAAGATCCTTGGACATAATGTATAAATATTTTCGACTTTCCAAAATGGAAGATGGTGATGAGATTTTAAGTCAAATATTCTTTATTCTTCAAAATTCAAGGTGAAAAAAAAATGAAATGCCCTTGTTTTTGTTTTAGGAAGCTGAAATTTGTACTACATACTTGTCAAGTATTGAATTGTTAAAAGTTTTTGACAAGCAGTGAACATATCTTTATGTATGATAAACAAAATGTAGGAAAATGTGTAAAAACATTTAGAAGTGAAATGTTAGAATCAGTTATGTGTAAGTTGTAATATTTAAATTTGAGTTTTTGTTTTCTAGCCAATAATGAGTGATAGGTTTTATAAGAAACGAGTGAAAGAAGATAATAGAAAAAGATATAGAGCACACCATATCTGATATGTTCAATGCCAATGATTCCTTTCACCAAATACCAGGGCTCTTCAGGCTGGCTAGAATACAACAATAGTAGTAATAGTGTTTGAGACACTTTATATGATCTAGCTGTTTAAACAAAAGCAACTGTTTCAGTGAGAACTGGATTAAGTTGGTGAAGTGTATAGTTTACCAATTTTATTTGTCACTACACATTGGAATTAGGGTAAGGATTTATTAACAAGGTTATTTATTTTAAAACTAAGTTGTTTATCATTATTCATATTTACTTGAATTAATCAACTCATCACTTAAAAGAAATACAATAACAGCAAATTTTACAGTAGGCATGTTCTAATTTTAATAATTACAACATTTTGACCCATATTATCGAGTTATCATCAGGTAAGAGTCATATTTGAATGTACCTCTTACCTGATAATGATTTGATACTAAGGGTCAAAACATTGTAATTGTTAAAATCAGAACTTGCTTTCTGTAAAAGTTGCTGTTGTATCTTTTTGAATTAACTATTCAGTTCATTACCAAACATTAACCTACTCGTTATTCAGAAGAACTGGTGAACTAGCAAACTGATTATTTTATTGAAACCAGTATCAATACCCAAAAAGATTATATTGGTGTCTTTCTCCTTTATTCATCATGTTTATCTACTTCAACCTCTTGATTAAAGCTTATTTTCAGTGTATTATTTAACTAGTACAACTGTGCAATTAGTGGAACTTGTTAACTGATTAACTGTCAGTTTTGTTAATTATGTTCAACAAATCAATTATTCTTACATGAGACTAGGAAAGTTGGAATAATCAAAAATAGTAATAATTGGAAACAAATTTTGATTAGATGATTATTATCATAAATCATGACAATATTCGTTTAAGCTAAACAATCTGAATTAAATATCATAATGAGAAAATATAATGGCAAAATTTTGATTACTTGTATAGTTGGAAGAATTGGACAATTGATTTTGATTATTTTATGACACACTATTAAACATCTCATTAGGTTTAACTAACTAAGGAAATTTAGGTTAGTCCTAAAACCAAGTTATAAATTGTGTGTACATTCAAGTTAGAAAGCTGCTTTTATAAGGTATTGACAAAATCCTGTGACTTTATATAGTACTAGTTATGCTGATTGTGAAAGTTATGACAAAATTGTTGCTTGGATTGTTATTATGTAAATAAAATACAGTATGAGCATTATATGATTAATATATACATAGATGAAAATAGTATTTTTATGATGCATTTTTAGTTCAGTTAAATGATAAAATGTTTTTATGTTTTCTTGTTAGAAACCCACTGTATACGATTTTATACTTTAAAATGTTTAAAATTCCTTATGCAGATACTTTTCTCCAGCTTAAATAACAAAGTTAGGTTTTTATGTGTTATTGTGATATTCACTGTTGAGACTGATTTCCCAACAACTATAAGGTAGATTGCTTTGCAATAATGGCAGAGTTCACCCAGGAAATTTGAGAGGACTTTTGTAATAGAGAGAATTAGACTTAGTGTTCTCTTTAGTGTATAAATAATAAAGCTGGATGCATTTCCAACAAGTAAACAATCTTTATTTTAAACAATAAAAACAACACCAGCGTGCATACCCACTCTCCTTTCTCCTTTAGTTGGCATTTATTCCTGTCACTTTCTTTCTCTCAAGATCAAATGCTCCAACAATAAACAGATCCTTTATGGAGAACTGAATCAAGAAAGCACTGCTGGATTCAGAATGTTAACTTGCTTTCTTTCTTCAGTGAATGGCATCACTTTGTGACCTATGTTCCCTGACAGCAGTGGTTGGTTGTCAGTTTCAGCTTTTAATTACATGCAATTTAATACAAAAAAAAAACTTTAATAATAAGAATATTAACATTTAACCATGATTTGTCACCTTGCAAATGAAAAAAAAAATCATTGTTGATTTGGGGTTAATATCTCTGAAACTTCTAATTTAGTAGAAACCACTGAAAAATATATTACACCCTTTAATGACAAATCATAATTAAAATTCTTAGTTGTTTTTCTCTTTCTCAATCATTGTTATTAACTCTTTTGGCATGGGCTTGGTCCCTGCGACCGACCTGTAACTACTTTGTACATGTTATAGTT